AAACAATATATTATTTTAAAAAACGAAAAAAGAAAAATATATATATATATAAATAAAAGTAGGACAGAAAGAGATAGGTAAAAAGTTAAAGTAAGCAGACGATAATTTTGGAATTTTTTTAAATTGACTAAAGCTTGATTTGTATAAAGAAAAGTAGTAAATTTGTTTAGGAAAAATATTAAGCATAATTTTTGTTAAGAATAAAATACTACCTGTTACAGGTTAAGAAAGTGAAGAAGTTATAACAATATCTGAATGGCTCCAAATATTTTCATCAGTTCTGTCTTCATTGCACGAAAAACCGTCTGAACGGATGGAATTGTTAGAATTCATGTTTAGTAGTTCAGTTAGAAAGAGTGAAAAGCTCTCTGATATTTGTAATAAGTGAATCTACAATTTTAACATTCGGTACAGCTTAATAATTGACTCATTATTTGTAGGCTTAACATTGTGCAGCGGGCATAGTCAGAGTAATGTACTCCTACTTCAGATTAACTAAAGGTCTGGTGTTGTTTTGGGGACCTTATTAAATCTCTGTACCACAGTGCTAAGAACTTCTACCTTCTGCTCATCCTCAATAACTGACCATTCAGGCAAAGCCATTATTTCCGATATGTGATTGACAATGTAATCTAGAGCAGCAGTTTTCAACTGCTTCTGCTTGATCTTATCCGCAAATTTAAAAATTTCACTGACATTAAAGATAGTAAAAGCACTCATCAAATATGTGGCGCATTTATCTTTCAGCGAAGGCACCAGGTACTTATCTGAAGCAATCATCAGCTCTTTTGCGAGATCACAGTCCATTCTTTCAACAAATCCGGTGTACAAATATTCCAATAAAGCCTGCGTCACATTTTTGTCTTCAGTAACATTAACAATGCCACTTATGCTTTCTGTCATGTCCGCGTTGTCAAACATTTTCAAGAAGTAGGGTGATCGAGCAATCAGAACAGATTTGTGTGCACCTAGCGTTGTGCTTTCATCCAACTTTAACACCACATCTGTATGCTTTTGACTCAAATATAATTCACGCATATCATTCTGCAAAGTTAATAAACTGTCTGCATTGGTAGAATACTGGAAATTCGAAGGTGTTTCTGATTGCATACCATTAGTTACACAAAATTCGAACTGCAACGTCACTTTCTTGCGCTCGTGACTGTATTTTTCAAGGTCAAGACTTGTCAAGAAAGAACTAAACTCCCAAACATCATCATTCGTGTTCGATTTAAAGAAATACGCACCACTTTTACATTTAACTACTGCTCCGTCTGCATCGATCAATATTATTTTACAAGACACTTGACGCTGCAAAGGAGAATCGCTTTCGATTTTGCTGATTTTTATGACAACTGAACTGGGGCAAATTAAACCAGATTTTGAGAGTTCGACTTTAAGCTTTGTATTTTCTAAAATAGAAAACTCTTTCCGTGCAGTGTCAACCAGTGGCAAAGTTACTTCCCAAATAGAATGGTGTGATTCTATTCCGATTTTGGTTCGAATCTCGCATCCTATAGGAGGGTGGGGGCGTTCAACTTCACTTCTCATGTGGCAACGCAGCATAAGTGGGTTTTCACTCCACGGTAGCTCGTCGAGCTTAGCACGTTCTATTTCCAGAGTATAATCTGAATCAAAAGAGGTATGGAATTTTTCATTTTTTCCTTCAACTGTATCCAAAATCGTTCCATTAGGATCAATCATTTCTATTTTATAATCAATCCATATTTCGCCATTTGTGTCATACCTTCTTAAATAGCATTGCGTGACCTCTGTATCATAGGGAACATCTCTAGGCACCAGATGTAGTTTCCACTTGCTTCCTCCAAAACAATCAATTTGGAAAAAAGGACTCTCGATTACATCTCCATTCTCCTGACTACAAAAAGAATAATTCTCGATTAGCCAGGTGACAATAAATTCTTTCCCGTAAGCACACGACATAACTTTGAATTTTGTGCAACAATCTGATGCAAGACGAATGAAATAAATTTGTATCCTTTCGAATAAGGTAGGAAAAACAAAAAGAAAGAAATTTAAATCTAACTGAAATCATTTAACTATAAAATAAGCTGAGTTATCTTATTTCTTATCGAAGTTTCACTTTCAGAAAAGCATCTATTGTTCCACTTGTAATATTCACGTTGTCATGAAAACCCCTGTTTTCATTTTATTTATCAGCAAACAAAGTTCAAAAAGTATATACCATTGCATCGAGAAAAGAGATAAGTCGGTATTTTACGGGAAATTTCCCTTATGCGCCATTCTACTTTCTTTTAAAAAATTACTTATTTATTAATTAAAGAAAAAAAATACTCCATTTGCGAAAGCTTACAATTTGAAATACTGCTTTCGTTGGGAAAAAACCTTTTGAGTTATATTTTTTGTTCGATAGTTAATTTAACGATTTTTCAAATTTTTTTAACAATATATATATATATTTTCNGTGCATAGCCAAATTTTTCAACAAAAAAAGCAACTTTTTAATAGCCAAAAAAGATTTTAAGCACTTTTTTTTTAAAAAGAAAATCATAATTAGAATATGCGTTTTAAAGTAAAATGTTCTTTCTATTGTTGAAAGTTCATCATATATTTTATATATGTGTGTGTGTGTGGGGGGGGGTGATTCTCACGAAATACAATTGACATTTTTTTGCTCCTAGATCAAATACTATACTACTAAAAGAACTTTTTTTTAAATTTCTTTTAATAAATAACATTTCTGTTAGCATTTTAAAATGAATCCTGCACAGGCATTGACTGTTTTGTATATTTAAAAAATTTAATTGAATCTCAAAATGTCTTTTTCCAGGTATGCCACAATGCCTCAGTATGCCTCAAAACTACCCATACATTTTTCAATATCTAATTTCTTTTTTATGTCAACTGATTTAATTATTTATAGAATATATGCAGAATGAATTATTTCCAAAAACTTTGTAGAAAATTTTTTTTTTCTGTCGATAATTTGTTTGTCGTATAAAAATTGTCATTGGCCGCTTTCTTTTAGTTATTAATTACCAAAATAGATGGCGTGAGCAATCAATATCTTAGGTTTAGAGCAGAGGTGTCAAACTCAATTTTGCAGAGGGCCATATATTAAATTTAGAATATGTAGGCGGGCCAGATGCAAATAAAAAAAATGTACTGAATTATTATAAAGTTTTCTTTATCTAATTATATAGTTTATAATATATGGTTGTTAAAAATCATATCAAAGTTATAAGAGATGGTTATTATTTTGAGCTCGAGGATCCAGATACCTGACTTCCCTTGTTTTTGACAAGCTCATTTATGTCCAGCTTCATATTTGTTATAATTATTTTAAGAATTGATTGGAGATGTTCATTCGTAAGTCTTGCGCGAAGTTTGTTCTTATTTATTTTCATGACGGAAAACATCTGCTCCCATAAATAGGTGCTACCAAACATGCACAGAATGCGTGCTGCATGCTTTTTTAATTCTGGGTAGTTATCCAAACTCTTCAAATATTGTGTATAAAATGTAGGAGCGTTAACCTCTTTAAATTTTTCTTTCAAAATACTGTCCGATTGAAGATTTATCAACTCCATTTGCAAATGAACTGGTGTCTGTGAAGCTTCAAAATTGAATGGATTGTTGAAAATTGGGAATTCCGTTTCATTCATTTTGTGGAAGTCTTCAAAACGTTTGTTGAATTCCGTTCCGTGATAAGATTTTGCAGCAGTTGAGAATATTGATCCAATTTTTTTTGGTTTACTGTGCCAAATGATTTTAAATGAGGGAAATGATCCAAGGTTTGATTTTTTACCTGATTTTCCCACAGCCTTAACTTTGTTTCAAAGGCTTGAATACATGAATACATTTGAGTGACAATCAGATTTTACATTCAGATCAGTCAAGTGCTAATTCATATCTACCAAAAAAAGCACAATCAATCCACCAGTCATTGTCATAATCAATAGGGTTGCCTTTTTCTAACATGAAAGCTTGAATAGGGTCAAGTAGTGGAAAAAATCTTTCTAAAACTACTCCTCGACTGAGCCAACGAACTTCGGTGAAATAAGGGACATCAAAAAAATTTTCGTCCAAATCTTGTAAAAACTGCCTGAACTGTCGGTGATTTAGTCCTCTGCTCCTTATAAAATTTACTATTTTAATTATAGGTTGCATGACATGGTCCATTTTGAAATGTTTGAATGCCAATGATTCCTGATAAATTATACAGGGAAATCCCACAAAATTCCCTGATGCTTTCTGTTTTAATTTAGTTACAACTCTCGAATGTTTGCCAGCCATGGCAGGAGCGCCATCCGTAGTTGTGCTGCTAAGTATATTCCAATCGAAGATTCCGCTTGTTGTTACTGTCTATCTCTCTCGCTTGTCTATCACGCGCTGCCCTTGAAATTACGTATAAATGTAGTGTGCACATTTTAAAACTTCCGTAGAGGAATCGAGTGAAGTCTAAAAGCTCTAAAAAACACGATTCTTCTTTCTGTGACACATCGCGATCGCGGGCCGTATTGATACGATCCGGGGGCCGGATGTGGCCCACGGGCCGTATCTTTGACATGACTGGTTTAGAGATTGATTAGAATACCATCCTATCGGAGCACGTTTTATTGTAGGAATAAATAATCAAATTTCGGAGTGTTTCAAGAAATTTTACTAGGTGAGTAGGTTTTTATGTTGTCATTTCCTGGCATGAAATCATTAATAGCATAAACTATGAAGATTTGCCTGAGTTATTTTGAGAAGTTGCGAGTTGTTTTCTGCGGAAAGTCGAAGTCTTAGACCTAAATGTTAAATTAAAGTTGAATGCTGTAAAATGGAAAATTGTCATTATCCCGGCTGTCTATTTCCTGGCCTTATGAATCCCAAGACAATTACACATTTACCAAAAAAAAACGACAAAAAATTTTGTTTAAATAATTGTCTTTCAGATTTTTAAGCAGTATAATGTATAGAGGGAAAGCAAATATCAACCTAATACCCATGTCATATGCTTGTATTAAGTAATTAAAGTTATTTATTTATTTGAAGATTGATTATTATACACAATTTCATTCTGTACATATCAACAACAAAGACATTTTTTTATTCCTTTCATAGTGGATAAAAGAGATAATTTTAACAATTCATGATCCATCTAGCACAGGGGCTTTAGGTTTTTTCAAAACACAGATAGTTAAAATATAAAGTATAAGTTAAAAATATCACTGTACAATTATATTCTGTCCTAGTCTTTAATCTCTGCCTGGTTGTATAAATTTACGAATGTAATAAAGTTGTGAAGTAAATTGAATTGAAATATTTCAAATTTAAATAATATAATAAAAGAAATTTGTGATGTGATTTATTATAAAATTAATTTTACTAAGTTATTTTAAAAGATGAGGCCCAAAAACAATCAAAGGAAAATAAACTGAGAAAAAACGGTATCCGAGAAAAAAATGATAGGGAGCTCCTTGAAAAAGAAAAACACAAAAGAAAAGTAAGGCATGTTCAATAGAAAAAGAATGTTGTAAAGCCAATCGCAAAGTTGAGTGAAAGAGAGAAAAGTATATTGATAGAACATACGAATCATATTGACAGAATAAAGCATCAATTTCAATTCATCAGTAAATTAAAAGAACTTTCTACATTAAATATAAATTTCAATTCACGTTGATTCCAGTGAAAACTATAATATTAAATATGCATCACAAGCAGTACACTTTGAAGCTTCAAGAACACAATTTACTGTACATATAGGAGTATTCTATCAAATACCAGCGGAAAAGAAGTGAGTTTTTCATTTTTAACTTTATCAGAATCTCTTAGAAGTGATTCATGTGCTATTTGGGCACATGAATCTATGCTTTTGGGCAAAATTTTAAATAATGTTCCACAGAGGGAATACTTAAGGGAAATACATTTAGTGAGTGATTCGCTTTAAACACAATATAGCAATAAAACAAATTTTTATCTCTAAAAAAAAATTATTTCCTCTAATTTTGCCTAGCGTATCATCCGTGCATTTTACAGAAGTGGATCATGGAAAGAGTACGCCGGATGGTGTTGACGTTCTGATGTGTAAAACGTTCTGCTGAAAAAAGTGTAACTTTTGATGGAGACATACCAAATGTGAAAACTTTAATTTCTGTTGTTGAAAAAGAATCTATATTATATAAAACGCTAATACGTACGTATGTATCAATAAAACCGATGATATTTCTTTTCTCGCGCTGGCAACAGTTTTCATTTTTTAATTGATTGGATTCGACGCGCAAGAGCACGTAGTGAGCATCTTATGGCTTATCTATATTATATAAAACGCTAATACGTTTTAATTGATAGGCTTCGGCGCGCAAAAGCACGTAGTGAGCATCATATGTCTAATCGGGTGAATTCCCACCGAATTATCAAACAAATTCTCACAAATTATCTTCATCGAAGCCAATGCTTAACATCCGGCGTTCAGTACTATTTCATATTGTTTTACAACACATGGTTTGAGCCCTCTGGTGGGAAAGACTTTAAAACAAAACTTACAACAGTTACTTTTCTCAACAACTGAAATTTAGAATAGTGTGATTAAGAAAAATATGTGAACTGTTTGGAATTTCAAATTAATATTGAATTTTTGTACAGTGAAAAGTTTTCGGAACTTCAGTGTTCAAAAAAGTATACAAAAGCTAGACGTTAAGAACGTATACAATGAGCGAGCAAAGCGAGCATCGAATTGCGAAGCAATCCGAAATGAACTGCGAAAGCATTTCCGGGGGTTGGCGAGCGCCAGCGAGCAGGGGGCGAAGCCTCCTGGTGTAATATAATAATTAAAGAAATAAAATTTTCAGCTATAAAAGCAGTCGATAACTTCATTAAAGGAAAGAAAATCATTCCCTTCATGGGGATTATGAATATGCACCAAGTCTTTTGGGAAAAAAAGATTTAACTTGCGTCTTCTTTCCTAAAAAATGAACTGTAAATGCCTCAGTCGTATTAAATGAGACTTCCACACTGGTTCCACTCAACTACTCACATTTTCTTACCACAGTACCAATTCTTAATTTTGATAATGAATCATATTCAGCTGAGCATAAGCGTATTAGAGCTGATTCTGAGACAAATAAAGTCAATAGTTGGGTTGCTGTTCAATTCGAAGATGAATGGTTTCTAGGCAAGTGAACTGATTTTTAATTTAAAGTAAAACTTATTTCAAATGCTGAAATCGGAAAAATTCCTAAGATATCATTTTCATTGTATGAGAAGTTGTTGAAGTCTTTAATTCAGATATTGAAATTAACATTATTATCCGTGCTAGCAAACAGAATGCGAATC